ATTCGACAACAAAACTTTTTTTGCAATGTGGTGCAAATGTTTTTGAAGGTGCTTCAAAATTGAAGTGCACATTACAATCAATGGCACATTATAGTTGAGTAAATACAGGTTTTTTCATAAATGTAATTTCCAAATCATTATTTCCGACATTTGAACTGGCCTTCCAGGGTTTTGATTAGGGCTCAAAATAATTGCATTTGGTTTAAAGAAGAAACCATTCATGTAATATTTGCTTTGGATTTTATGTCCATTTTTGTAATGTACTGTGATGAACATAAAAAGAAAGATCAGACTTTCTGGGTTCTGCTTTTGGTTTTTATGAAATTATTAGTCCAATCGCAAAATCTGAGTCACGAAAACAAGAGTTTGGGTGCAAACACACACACTTACAGTAGTATTAATTAAATCTGAGTCAGGAACCCATCTTTACACAGAAACAAAACACTCTTCTAGAGTGTTGTGCGGTTTCCAGGTTGTATGGAGGTGTTCAAGCATTTTCTCCTAACGTTTTGTCTGCATCTGTGGCTGGTATTTTTAGGGAATCCTCTGAAGACGCAAGTCACAGATGCAGGTGAAACATCAGGAGAAAATGCTAGAACATGGCCATACAGCCTGGAAACCACACAACACTCCAGTGATTGCAGCCATGAAAGTCTTCAACAATACATTAAAACTCACTTCATTACCATTTTTAAAAATATTAAGCCATTGTATTGAGAGAAGGAGGGGTATCATTTTATAACTTTGAGTATTTAAATCAAATTAAGAATTTAAAGAAAGAATCCTTGCTATCTGTTTTTATATTAATTGTCAATTTATAATATTCCCATGATTTTCAGAAAGTTTTCTTAGGCAAGGAACTGAGAGGAGGTTCTTCCAGCTCCTTTCTCTGAAATACTACCTACAGTACCTTATATTCATTGGTAGTCTCTTCCAAGTACTAACCAGGAACGACTCTGCTTAGCTTTGAAGCTATCACATATTCTCCTTTATGGATGAGTTCCATGAAACTGTGTCTATTTTTGATGTATCCCTCTGACCTAAACTGGCTATTAAAACATTCTTTGAAACAATAGAAAGGTTGACAATTGAATAATAGTTTACTAGAAATATATTTATTTTAAAAAGCAGTAATCAATCATTTTCAACTTCCTTTTCACTCTTCCTGACAAAGTTAATGTTACATCAACAGCAGAACAGGGAAATTATCTTACTTTGCCGTATCCCTGAGGAAAATTATGCTGTTTTTCTCTTTCACAAATTCAGAGCCTCTCAAAAAAAGAATTCCCAGTCAGGAAACTTAAAAGGACCTCTCATTTGTAGTTGTTCCAGCAGATATATCCTACCAAGCCTTCTGTTTCCTTGTTTCACATGATAAAAGGTAACTCATATATTCAGCTTGGTCGACAAGTCTACCTAAATGGTAACTGAAAAACACAATTGTGCCACTAAACTATTTTTATCCAAGTTTCTCCTTATACATATTTGTTATTAAATGACATTGTTGCACATCGAGCTGGTCCTAAAGTGTCTCTAGCAACAGATGCTGAAACGAAGGAGCAAGTGCTGCAAAATGCAGTTTAGTTTATCGACCTCATCAGATGAGGCTTACTTTGGCGGCGTATGCTGGTTCGGTCCTAGTTGACTTATGGGACCTGCCAGATCCCATCTAATAATGCAAAGTAACTTCTAGTGGGGCTCCGTCAGACAACTAGTGTGGAACTGGTGTATGCCGCCATTGCAGTAACATGGGAGGCTTCCTGTGTTGCATCAGGATGAATGGGGGGGGGGGAAGCTGAGCAGTTGATGCTTGCCCCCATGGGATTGGCTTAAAGGTAAGTTGGGCAATGCTGAGCATGAGGCAATGGGTTCCCCATGCCCTCTGGCAGTGGTCTCCGGATTTGCCACAAAACGTGATGATTCCAGTGGCCCGTGTGAAGAGGTCAACATACTGCTGTGCATTCTTTTTCTTAGTAGGAAACATATATGTTCAGTACAGAGGTGGGAATCATAAAGATGTTTTGTTGGACTTTTCCTCTCAGCATTTCTCACCACTGGCTATGCTGGTTAGAGCTGCTGGGATGTGCAGCCCAATAATGTGTGGTCGACTGCAGGATCTCCACCCCTGGTTTAGTGATTGTGTGACATAGATTAACAAAATGTTTATTACAGAACTGAATAGAAGCAGTTAAGTTAAGGCAGAATGCCTATGTGCATAAATGGTCCAAATTTACCTTCTGATTTACTTTTAAATACCATATGCAGAATGATGTGACATGACAGCAAGGACTTGGAGTATAACCAGTTGTTACTATGGCAATGGGTTTAAAAATCATTAACCATTGAGTATTTAAATGTAATCCCAAATTCTTGCTGTGCGGCTTTTGTCAGAGCCAAATCCTCAAACTTCAAAGGAACAAAATTGAGCAGTGAAAACAAGCTGCCACTACATGCCCACATACACATATATACAATCTACATCAGATGAAGTCAAGAACTTTATCCAGACCATAACCAAATATACTTCTGTAAATGAAAATGAAAGAATAACAGATCCTGTGTAACACATCAGCTTTCTAACTCAGAATTAGTTGGTATTAGTTGGTATTCCACTTTAGGTCAACTTTTAAAACCTGGTGAGGTGATATAACTAAGACCTTGAGTACAAATTTCCCCCCTCAAAACCACAACACATTACAAAGAGAGTTATCTCTCTAGATACTACAACAAATCAATGGCCAAAAATCACTAAGGGAAAATATTAAAATTCTGCAGCACTGAGTTGAAAGTTTCGTAGTATAGGGAGTTTCGTAGTATAGGGAGTCCAAAGGTTATCTTTACAATTTCAATTCTACATACTAGTGTTTCTCAATTGCTTCTCCTACAGATGTTTTGGACTTCAGTTCCCAGAAATCCCAGTCATCTTACTAACTTAGGAATTTTGTGCGCTGAAGTCCAAAACACCTAGAGAAGAAAAGCTTGAGAAACATTGTTTGTGGAGGCGGGAGACTATCTGTGTAAGAGGACACCTCTGCCACATATACACATACACATTTTTCACTTTTATAATGTGTACAGATAGATAGATGATGTTAAAGTAATCTCAACATAACCTCTGCTTCAACACCAAATTACAATTAAATATTAGCTTATTTACAGATATATTTGATAGACCCTAATGAGAGCTTGCCAAGGCACAACGAAGATTCCCAGCTGTTATGGACCAAAAGGTCAAGCCATTTCAGAGAAACAAAATCTGTCTGATGGGAACTCTTTCAGCTCCCAGCCTATGACCCAGTCATAATCCACCTCCTCTTTTGAAAACTCTTAAAACATGAGGGGTTTAGGAAGTAAGAGCAACTTTAAAAAATGATCTTTGACTGGCTCAATCCCTTTGAGGATAAAGTACTCTTCCTTCATCCTGCATGCATCTTTCACTTTTCCATGAGATATTTCAGAAGAGAGGCTAGTACCTGGAGATACTGACTGATCAAGTGAAGCAGGAATTAACCCTAAAGCCTGAACTTGGGAAGGTTCATAAATTCCAGAATCTCTGGCAATTGTACTAGAGCTGGGAATTTCTACTTTTCTGTAGTTTTCACAAGCTCTACCGACAATCATGGAACAAGAGAATGGACACTTATAAAGGGAAATGGTTCAGCTTCCGCTCTTTCCATGTGAACTGGATCTTCTTATGTGTTTTCAGTGCTGCACAAAAGAGTAGCACAGCAACAACTTAAGCAACACAAGGGTGGCATACTTACCTTGTCTGAGACACATAAACCACCTTTTTAAAACTGGGTGTGTGGATGTTTGCTTTTAAAGTTTTAAATGAGTTTTATGATGTTTACATTAACATTAAGGAATTTTTGGTATTTTAATGATATGTTTAATGGTTTTAAAATGTTTTATATTATACATTGTTTTAGTTGTATTTTGTTTTAACCTATATTGCACACTGCCTTGAATTGGAATTGTGTGATATAATATAGTGTAACAGAACATAAAATTTACTTCTCTGTATTTTTTTTTAAAAAAGCACTATACTAGGAGTTGTAAGGGACTAAAATTGCCAAGTCATTCATAGTCACAGCATAGAGAAGCTTAGTTACTGTAGTATAAATACATAAAAGAATAACAAAAATATAAGTCCTTATTATTACTAATTTAATATGGCTAATTTACATTTCTAGCTTGCTGGAAGCACTCTGATGTGTTGTCCAAACTTTGCACTCGAAAGAAGTCCCATTGCTGAGATGTCAATGTTTTGGATTATTTTTTAAAGCGCAAGCTTGAGCCTATAATGGCGAGCAAATTCTCCAAGAAGATTCTCATTTGTGAATAACTTGGTACCCTGTATCCTAGAATTATAGAGTTGGAAGACACCACAAGAGCCATTCAGTTGTACTCCCTACCATGCAGGAATACGCAATCAAAGCACTTTTGACAGATGGCCATTCAGTCTCTGTTTAAACCTGGCCAAACACCTACAATGTGTGGTAAGAACTAACCTCTATATAATCTTTGCCTTGCCCTCAGTCACACACTTACATATTTGTTATGCAGATATTATTTTAGCCAATATGAGCCAATGAAAAGAGAACTCCCATTTATTAGTCACTGATTATCTGGATGCGTCAATGAGGAAAAAATAACATTGCATTATAGCACAGACAAACCATGATAGATGATTGCTGGGGTTAAAGTTTTTCAAAACAGTTGGCACATTAAAGGAGACAAGCAGGGCCAATGTCTTTCATAGAGCCAGGAGAGGAAAATATTGGACAGTAATGGATTCATAATTGAATAGGTACTTAACTTTATCAGGCAGAATCAGGCTCGATTCCCACAGATAAATAAGATCAAAGCCAAATTTTACACTCTCAAACTACCATGCAGTGATTCATAGCTTCAGTCCTTGAAATGGCAAGCATGTGGAACACACTTTCACTGTGCTGCACACGTTCTTTTAAGAGCAGCTTTCAACATATTTTACTCACCATCATCTGCCGAATATGAAACATTTCAGCTCCAGTAGCCGAGAGACGGTTTGGAAATGAAATGTCGACAAAAGATCCAGGGAGTGTGCTTGGGCCAGCATTATACACCTTAAGAAAAGAAGAAGTAAAAAATGAAGACACACATATAAATTTCAGAAAATGTGTTACTAGTAAGGCTGCAACTGGCTTTCAGGAACTCTAAATGGCACAACACTTTCACTGGGAACTACTGTAAGCCTCTTCTTTATTTGTTTATCATGTCAGAAGCAAATTGACAATACAGTTATAATGTATAAAAAAACTTGGCAATATGCTAAATTTCCTTTGATCAGAAGCTGGCCACGTCAAGTTCCTCTGGTGTTGCTGTGAGAAGGTTCTCCATTGTGCATGTATTACTATCCTGCGGGGAGGTTCCCTCATGTCCCCGGCCTCTTCTTAATCCATCCTAACATGGGCACAAACATTGCCAACAAAAAGAAATGTGGAAAACAAGGGAAATCAGTGTAGCTGTGGGGATGGTAAATCCATCCTTGGTTTTTTGACTTCTCATTACAGAAGTGTTCTGTGTTGCATGGGACCTCTCCCGGTGGTAAACCTTTTCTGGGATAGTGTTCAGCATTGGGGAGCTCTTGGGGAACTTGGAACAATAGTAAAATCATAAGCAGATTAAACACGTGTATGGCAATGGGCTCATTGGGTATGAACCATTAAGCTGAAGGAAGGGCTTCAGTAGTCAATTTCATGAGTTCAAGCTTTAACCAAGGTCATCATATTCCTGAGCATACCAAGATGGAAACAGTGCCATATATTTTATAATACACTTACTCTCAGGAAAGCAAAATATATGATACCTGTAGATGTTTATACCTTCCTTCAACAATTAAAGTGGACTGTTTTGTGATACAGCTTTCTGTAAGACTGAAGAATTTTTGATAACGACTAATGAAAATTTGTAAATGAATTGAGATGGACAAATGTATTAGGTTGATAGAGGAGACAATATTTGTCTGTTTTAAGAGAGACTTAAGATTTACTGAATAATATGTTCCACTACTTTGGGGGGGGGGGGGTCCATTACTTGTGGGATATATGAACTTGTAGTATGTTATTGAATGTAGACATGTGACTACCTAATATTTCTTAAAGAGAATAGACTAGTTAGGATAAAATATCAGAAGAATGAGAGGGATAGGTCTGTAGACATTCTTTGTGCTTATTAGTAAGTTTTGTTTTAGTATAAATGTTGTGTACATACCTGTGTGTTGGTGTGTTTTATTTTTTATATGGGGTTTTTGTGGTGTCAGGTGTGAAAAATGTAGCACTAATTAGAAAGGAAATGAATAGGGTGTTGTTTTTTTAAAAAAATGTACAGTTATAATGTATTTGTTCTACTATAGTTGTATTATAGTTTTTCTTTTCCCTCAATAAAAACTAACCCCCAGTGGTGCAGTGGGTTAAAGCCTTGAGCTGGCAGGACTGAAAGCCGACAGGTTGCAGGTTCGAATCTGGGAGAGAGCGGATGAGATCCATCTGTCAGCTCCAGCTCCCCATGTGGGGCATGACAGAAGCCTCCCAAAAGGGTGGTAAAACATAAAAAAAACATCCAGGCGTTCCCTGAACAATGTCCTTGCAGACGGCCCATTCTCTCACACCAGAGTGACTTGCAGTTTCTCAGCTTGCAGTTTTTCTGACACGAAAAAATAATAATAGCAAAAAAAACCCAATTAAAGTTGATTTCTAGATGTACAGAATTAAAACACAGATGTTAGAACTGGAATTTAGCTAGGCTGCTTCTAACTCATTAGAATCAACTCAGCTAATAAATATATATGGAAAGAGTTTGATTAAGTGATTTAGTTTGGATCATGAAATTAATAGTCTTAGCGAGTTTGTGTTTGTATGTATCCTTATATGGCAATCTATACTACTTAACTTTCTGTGTATTTGGGAACTCCTCTGCTAATTCTCTTGCATGAAGACCTGGGCATTTGTTTCAGAGCCTTCCTTTGAATGGACCATTGCTTCACAGTAAGCCTGTGGGACAGAACCTCTCCTTTGAGAACTGTTTAATCTGTTTGGGGGTCTCTCTCTCTCTCTTGAGAACACTTAGCCTTACGGTTAATTCAGCCCCGCATGCCTATACATAGATGCATTTGCCTAAACATTTACATGCTGAAAAATAAACAGTTTCAATTAGACACAGCTAGCAATGTTTAGAATTTAGTCTCGGAATATGCCGTGGTCTATACATGGCGCTATTCAGAATCCAACTGACTCAAAATATCCAAACATCTAGATTTCATTCTCCAAACATTGGTCATGTTTTGAAGAATGTATGAATGATAAAGAGAAGTGGTGCACAATGCCAAAACCTTACAAATCCCAGAGGCACTTAAAAGGGGAAAGAATCCAACTCCAACTACAATAAGCTCTAACTACTTCATCAAGTGCAAGCATAATAAAACAAACTAGAAAACAAATGATCTAGCAATTATATTGTGAAGAGCTAATGATTTGGAAGAAAGGTTGAATCTCCACTATAAAGGAAATGAAAGGGCTTTTCTTCTATAGTTTGTTTCAATGTACTTTTCACTGTTTTTATTTTTTCAAACTAGGTGTCTTTCATTCAATACCAACTTTTATTCTATAACGTAAAACTGGTTTATACCATGCAGCTATGGACAAGTCTACATGGGGACCACCAAACGCAGCATTGCCCAAACACGAATCAAGGAACACGAAAGGCACTGCAGACTTATTCAACCTGAGAAGTCAGCCATAGCACAGCACTTGATGAACCAACCTGGACATAGTATATTATTTGGGAATGCAGAAATGCTGGATCATTCTAACAACTACTATTTCAGACTACACAGAGAAGCCATTGAAATCCACAAGCATGTGGACAATTTCAAAAACTCCAAAATCATAACAGTAAATAAAGAACAACACTCAAAAACAATCAGAGCCAACTAATCTTCTCCCAACAAAGGATTCCCCCAGGAAGTAAGAAGCCAACCCTTGAAAACTGCTAGGCCATTAAATGCTAATCAAGGTGGCCAACTGAAACATTCACACCTACCTCAAACAGACAAGAGTTCTTTCTCCAACCCTGGACATTCCACAGAGATATAAACCCAATTTTTCTCACAACCTCTGAGGATGCCTGCCATCCTCTGAGGGGGTTGGACTGGATGGCCCATGAGGTCTCTTCCAACTCTATGATTCTATCAGGAGAGAATGCTTCTGGAACATGGCCATGCATCCCAGAAAACACACAACAACCCAGTAAAACTGATTTACTTCTACACTATTTAGCTAACTTTTATGATTTGATCAATTTAAGACTGAAAATGTTGGTAATTTGTAATTAAAAAAACAAAACAAAATCAGGACTTATGCAAACTATATCCCATAAATCCAGTCCTGACCACACTTCTACAACTCCTCTATTAGTTGCTGTGAACTATTATCTTCCATGGTGGGAGACATGTGCTATTAATTAGTCACAAAATAACATCATGTTTGGGAGAAAACACATTTTTTAAAACACTTATTATAATCTTACAAAACACATTCACTGAGCAATCTATCATTCTGGAGTTCCATCTAGTGGCCAGAAAGACGTTCATGACGTATGGATTCAGGAATAGTACAGATGAGAAACTGATGGAAAGAACTATGTCTTTTTAAAATGCCATTATGAATATTTATATACACACATAAACCTCTTCCACACTGCCATATAAAAATCCAGAATATCTTCTTCAAACTGGAATATATTGTACTGGAGAAGGGGCCTTTAATTTCTTTGTAATTTAAAAATATCCAGTTTTGATTAAACCATGTCCTCCTCAAAGTTAAATGAGAAACAGTGCAAACTACAATGAGTTCAATATGGCATATGTTTACGTATGCCTAGATAGGATTAGAGCCAACCCCCCCCCCCCCCCCGCTGGATATCAACCAGCATGCCAATGCCTTAAATCAAGAAATTATTTTCTAAGATCTACAGAGATACTCGCAGGAACACCTCGGCAAGTGAGAGTCCAAAAGTAGCAGGCTAAAACCCGGAACCTCAATCAGTGACTGATACCAAATGAGAGACTCCCCCCTGGGCACACAGGAGACTAAGTGACTTGGAAGGTGCTGAACATACTGTGGTCTGGCACCATGAGATGCAGAAACTTAAGAAATGGAGCCACAAAGTGGAGTCCACGACATGCGAGTGTAGAGAAAAGCAAACCACAGACCATCTATTACAATCTGAGTCTGAGCCCTGCCACATGCACAATGGAGGACCTTCTTATTGCAACACCAAAGTCGCTCCAAGTGGCCAGCTACTTATCAAAGGACATTTAGTATAATGCCAAGTTTTTAAACTTTGTTTGTGTTTTTAAATACATTACAACTGTGACCTTGGTTCGCTTCTGACACGATAAATAAATAAATAAATAAATAGAAAATGTTTGAATGGTAAATAGCTGAAAGAAAGGACACATGACAAAGCAAACAACTAATGGCAGTTGTATGAACTGAGGGACTAAGAACTGAGACTAGTCCATTCCAGACATTGAGTCTTGTATCTAAAGATCATATATTTACAACATAAACACTTGTTTTGCTTTGCAAGCATGACGTAGACTGTGCTGTAAGAGAGTGGTAGATCCAATGCCATCCAGTGAGCCCAGTGTCAGACTGGCCACTTGAAAATTGTGCTCCTCCGTTCCAGACCAGCACCCTAACCTTAACTCGACGTTGGCCACATAGTTTGTTTTGGTAGAACTGAATTATTATATTGATGTATTGCTGATATAAATTGCTGCATGAGCCAAAGTATAGTGGGCTGAGGATTTTATTCATTTTTTGTATTTTTTTTTCTACCAAGTCACACTATGTCCTGAGAATTTGCTGAGAATGAAAGAAGGACCATCCAGTGGTAAAAGTGGCATCAGGGTAACTATGTTTAAGGAAAACTTAATACTAGAGAAAAAGCATGTGGCCAAAATCCAAAGAGCAGCCACTTTCACATCTCAAATGAGATTTTTTTAATTACATTCTCATTACTCTAATGCAGTGGTTCTCAACCTGTGGGTCCCCAGATGTCTTCAACCCCCAGAAATCCTAACAGGTGGTAAACTGTCTGGGATTTCTGAGAACTGTAGGCCAAAACACTTGAGAACCACTGCTCTAATGGATATATATTTACTGTACCATGCCATTCCATATAAAAACACATCAGCAGTAACATATAGTTGTTGTGTGCCTTCAACACATTTCCAAGTTATGTCAACCCCAAGGTAAACTTATCATGGGGTGGGCTTATTTTTTTGTTTTGTAAGATTTGTTCAGAAGAGTGTTGTTTTTGCCCTCCTCTGATGCTGAGGCTGGATCTGTACTGCCATATAATCCAGTTGAATGCAGTTAACCTGCATTCTGAAACTGGATTAGATGACAGTGTAGACCCAACCTAAGTGTGACTTGCCAAGGCTACCACAAACTCCAGTCATAGTACTGTACAATGCTAAACACTTTATCATGCAAGAACAGTACCATAAATCCATATTTTCACTAAAAAGAAAAAACAGAAAAAAATAACTTTTTTGCCTATGTATTTTTTACAAAACAATCCTATACATTTCTACTCTAAATTAAATGACCCAGCCTTCAATTGTGCTTTCTTCCAGGTAAAATTAAAGTATAGTTAGTACAAGAGACTGTTATGCATGATTTTTACCTGAAGAGTGAAGTTGAGGTCCTGAAAATGACATTCAAAATCTTCCAGCTGAATAAACTGAGAAGCTGCCACAGACTCACCATAAATGAAAGAACTGGGGGATACGACACTGAATGAGAGAAAGTGGGAATAATATGAGATTGCAAAAAGAGAAAAAAGGGGCTTTGTTTTCTGTTGGATAAATAGTTTCCCCTTTTGATACCCTTTGAAAATTATCTATTTCTCTTCACATACTTTTATCCTACAAATGAAGGAAAACATAAACAGAGCCCTGACTGTGAAATTAAACAGAACGGTACACAGCCAGACCTTCATGTGACCTGTACTATCCCAGAACATTTGACCACAACCTTTGGTCTGCCAGATCTGAACCAAAACATCTGACTTGACCTCAGAAATGATGTTTCCTTAAAATGTTAGATCATAATGCTGTACTTAATGCCTAATGTTTTTGTGCTTAAAAAAGTAATAAGGAAATAAAACATTTTTATAATGTCCTAAGAGCTGAAAGTCTGGACATTTTAGTGAAAATAAGGAAACATTCCCTTCATGTAAACAAAGGAAACATGTTGGTTTGCAACTAACTTAGAAGACATGCTTAAAATAACTGTCAGAATTGCACAATGATAAATGCCTTACCCTGTGATGGAGGAGTCCACTTCATGCATCAGAGGAACAGAGAGGGTGAGAGAGTTGTCATGGAAGTTGTGTTCTAAGTTCCCACTGTACAAAATGAATGAGAATTAAGATTATTGAATAAATGCCCTTACACTGACAACAACAGTCGAATGTAATTTGTTGAACTGGTGGTGCTTCTACTCTACCTAATTACAGCAGCTTGATTCTATTTAATTGTCAGAATGCCATTCTATGGAAATAATTTATATAAATAAAAATGTAATGTTCATTTGTGGAATTAACATAACTCAAAAACCACTGGGCAAATTGACATCACATTTGGACACAATACACCTATCAGGCCAACAAGTGACCATCACTCCTAAAAACACTGAAAAATACAACAGAGAGGACTTAAAAAGCCCAAAAACAAAAATTGCATTACAACTCATGCACAAAACCACATATATATACACAAACACACATATATACACACACATATACACATATATACACACACTAAACACATTTACACAGACTGGGCCACAGCAACGCGTGGCAGGGCACGGCTAGTAGTAGTAATAACAACTACTACCACCACTACTACTACAAGCATTGCATGGCCAGTTCCTTGACAAAATTAAAGGAAAAGTTGACAGGGAGAAGACCTGGTTATGGCTCATGAATGGAACACTGAAGAAGGAGACAGAAGGTCTGGTTCTTGCAGCCCAGCAACAAGCCATCAGAACCAATGCAAACTAAGGCCAGGATTGAAAAATCAGTGGATGACCCAAAATGCAGACTGTGCAAGGAAGGTGATTAGACTATGGATCATATCCTCATCTGTTGCAAGAAAAATCTCACAGACGGACTACAAAGACACAACACTGTGGCCCAAATGATTCACTGGAACTTTTGTCACAAGTACCACCTGCCAGCAGTAAAGAAYTGGTGGGATCATAAACCCACAAAGGTCATGGAAAATGAGCACACAAAAATACTGTGGGACTTTCAAATCCAGACTGACAAAGTTTTGGAACACAATACACCAGACATCACATTACGTTTGAGGCTCAGGCGTCGGCGGTGTCTGGGAGGGCTTTCGCACAATTGAGACTCGTGCGCCAACTGYAACCATACCTCGCGAAGGCTGATCTGGCCGGGGTGGTCCATGCCTTGGTCACCTCTAGATTGGACTACKGTAATGCGCTCTACGTGGGGCTGCCCTTGAAAAYGGCTYRGAARTTYCAACTGGTCCAACRGGCRRCRGCCAGRATGTTAACYGGKGCTCCTTACAGAGAGAGGTCAACCCTTCTGTTCAAGGAGCTCCACTGGCTGCCGTTTATTTTCCGAGCCCAATTTAAGGTGCAGGTGCTTACCTACAAAGCCCTAAATGGTTTGGAACCATCCTACCTGCGTGACCGCATCTCCGTTTATGAACCCACGCGTGCACTTCGTTCATCCGGAGAGGCCCTGCTCGTGATTCCGCCCGTGTCGCAAGCGCGTTTGGTGGGGACACGAGACAGGGCCTTTTCTGTGGTGGCCCCCCGACTCTGGAACACCCTCCCCAAAGATCTTAGACAGGCCCCTACATTGGCTGTCTTCAGAAAGAACTTGAAGACCTCGCTGTTCCGATGTGCCTTTCCAGAATAGGAAATCTCTAATACCAAGTCCCAGAAGCACTTTATTAGAATTAAGATTGCAGCACACTGCACACTGCACTTGCCCTATAAGCCTTATATACCACCTGTCACACCAGCACTTTTAATTCTGTACCCATTACTCTGGCCCGGCCCAGTTTTATTGTGTCTTAGTGTATTGTTTATTGCTTGTTGTTTATATTGCTTTAATTGCTTTAATTGTTTAATTGTTTTTAATTTGCTTTAGGTTTTGTATTGTTATGTTGTGTATTGAGGCCTTGGCCTTTGTAAACCACATCGAGTCCTTCGGGAGATGCTAGCGGGATACAAGTAAAGATAATAATAATAATAATAATAATAATAATAATAATAATAATGATAATAATAATTTGTGGAAAAGAAAAAAGTTTGGGTTATTGAAGTCGCCATACCGGGTGACAGTCGCATTGAGGAAAAACAACAGGAAAAACTCAGCTGCTATCAAGACTTCAAAATCGAACTGCAAATGCTCTGCTCTGGCATAAACCAGTACAGGTGGCCCAGTGGTCATTGGCACACTGGGTGCCGTGCCAAAAGATCTCAGCCGGCATTTGGAAACAATAACATCGACAAAATCGACAAAATCATGATCTGTCAACTGCAAAAGGCCACCTTACTTGGATCATTCGAAAATACATCACACAGTCCTAGATGCTTGGGAAGTGTTCAACTTGTGATTTTGTGATACGAAATCCAGCATATAGATCTCGTTTGCTGTGACATACTGTGCTTTTGTGTCAGTAAAATAATAATAATATATTTGTATTCTACCCTATCTCCATGAGGGGACTCAGGGCGGATTCCAATATACACAAACACAAAGCAAATATTCAATGCCTAGAAACAATGAAACACAGCTAAAGGTAAAAGCTTCCCCTTCTGCCTCTGAGGAGTGGTGGTCATCTCTGGCTCGGAGGGGTGGTGCTCATCTCCATTTCTAAGATGAAGAGCCTGCGTTGTCTGTAGACACCTCCAAGTTTATGCGACAAGTTGCATGGAGTGCCGTTTACCTTCCCATCGGGGCGGTGTCTATTGATCTACTCCCATTTGCATGTTTTTGAACTGCTAGGCTGGCAGAATCTGGGGTTAACAGTGGGAGCTCATCCCATCCCACAGATTCAAACTGCCAACCATCCAGTCAGCAAATTCAGCAGCTCAGAGGTTTATTAACCCATTGTTCCACCACGGCCCTGTTGCACCACCACAGGATTTGTATTTGTATATATTTGTATTTGTGTTCTGGGATTTGTATTTTGAATTCTCGTCCAGAGAACTCTGGTGCCTTCCCAGACTACAAACACCAGGATTGCATAGGATGTACGCATAACAGTCAAAGTGAATCACAGTGCTAGAATTGTGTTGCATGGAAGAGCCATTTATTCTTTCCCTCTGGATGACTTTTCTCTTTCAAAGCTATCCTTACATGTAAATATTTACTTCATTCTGATGCTAAAATGAGATGGCTAGCTTTTAAGTGAAATATGAAAACTATGTGCACGTACAAAAGCCAACACCAGATTTAGCCTAATTGTGTTGTTCTTTGGCCAGGTTTCCGATTGCTTCAGTATCTGTGTTTTCCCTTTCAGTAACAGCAGTCAGACATCCTAATCCCCCATTCAAGCAACATGGGATACAAAGGGGAAATTTATTTGCCAAAAGTCCTGAATTGTTGGATGGTTGTTTGGCTCATGATAGGCCTAGTTTGTTTCATGGTTATGTCCTCAAAATGGGTCATCTGGATAACTGATAAAGGGCTAACTATGCCACACAATGGGTTGTTGTAGTTTTTTTCCGGCTATATGACCATGTTCTAGAGGCATTCTCTCCTAGAACGTGGCCATATAGCCCGAAAAAACCTACAACAACCCAGTGATTTCGGCCATGAAAGCCTTCGACAATATATGCCACTCAATATCACACAATTCAATTTATCATTGGTGTGCTCTAAAACAAATATTGAGAAGAGCATAAGATGCATGTTTGAAACAAGTATCACAAATTTGAAAACATACATCTGAGAAGCCACCTGAACCTCTCTATTGTACAGTGCCACTATGATATGATGGATGCAAGAAATATTAGATATATTTTTGTTCTCTAGCACAATATATCAGTATACATTTCAGAATCACGGGGCAAAGTTTTCTGTGGTCAGTTATCACTTCAATGTAAGTATGCATCACTAGGCACAAAATTTCCTTTCAAAATGGAAAAGAGCCTTAGCTATTTAAATATCCGAAAGGCTATTAGCTGAATCTCCCTAGGTCACACCTTTTCACATGTTAGAATCCAACACACTTTTATTATGTCGAATACACTTCTTCATGAGAGAAAGCTCCAATATGAATTCTCCAACACAGATTCACATTCTTAAGTTGATTACATTCTAGCCTGAACTAAATTGTTATTCCCAGTTATGTCAAAAGTGTGGTATCAACAGCAACTCAGTATGTTAATATCAAATATATGTTTCTCTGGTAATTGGGTCTAACAATTTGATTTAGGGAACCTAAGTCGCATAACTGTTTCCAGTGCATAAACTGGTCCTGAAAACGTAGAAGACATACTATTCAATATCAATTGTTGGGTAACGAATAGGCAAATGAGTATTTTAGTGGTGGTTTAGAAACTGTGGCAACTATTCTATACCAATAGAGAAGCATTGTCCATCCACGGATCCTTATGTCATCTAAATGACAACTTCCAAACATACCACATTTGGAGGAACTACAAAGTTTACAGTCACTAAAAAAAAGCAAGTTAAATGGGAAGGATGGCCCAAAAGATGAAAAACTGTTTTCTCATCCTGTGGCTTCTGTCACTGAATCGTGTGGCTGATCTGGTACATCAGTTCCACACCTTAAACTGACCACTAATGTCTACATGAGAAATGAGCAAATAATCAGAGTGGTGAGAATATTCACAGCCAGATCACCAGAAAATGGATGTTTTGTTTGAGTTTTTGGCAACTAAAACAATACCAGAGGTAACAGAATTTAAGCCAAAAGCCAAAGACTAAAATGAGATTACTGCAGCCAACAGGAAATTGCAAAATCACAGAGATGGCATGAGTCAGTTCAGACTTTATTCCTTCCACAAATATGTCCCTTTATAAATACAGGGTGGAACATTATTTAAAAGCCTGTTTTAACATCCCTGTACATCACATAAACATTTGACATTAGAAATATATAACTGCCTTTTTCAATATATGTTAAGGTATTTTCTACACTACGGAATACAGTGATACCTTGATTTAAGAGTTTATTTCATCCCGCAATGGAGCTCTTAATTCAAATGACTCTTATCTCAAAGCAAACCCCAATGAAATGCTATTATTCATTCTGTCCCACTAACCCCCCCCCCCCCCCCAATATTTTGTTATGTGTTATAAGTAAGAAAATGCATTGCATATTCACACAGAACAGTAGTTCTCAACCTGTGAGTCCTCAGATGTTTTGGCCTTCAGCTCCCAGAAATCCTAACCACTGGTAAACTGGCTGGGATTTCTGGAAGTTGTAGGCCAAAACACCTGGGGATGCCAAGGTTGAGAACCACTGACATAGAACAATATAAAAGAAAGATCAACTTTAAAATGGTAAAAGCACAAAGTTGTGGCAAAGAAGCACAAAGTGAAGAGGCAGAAGTATCATTTTCTTCATACTGTACTCATTCCAGCCAGCTTCCCTATCTTGCTTTCTCTCTCCCCCTCTCGGTTCATGGAGTCAAATATACCAGGAATAAAACCCACAAAAAATCAACTAACCCAATATTCCTCAAAGCAGACAAGAGCAAGTGAACAGCAATCTCCCAAAGCGGGCAAGAGCACAAGGCACAGAGGCACACAGCACAGAGGCTGCTCCCTTTAAGCTCTAAAGCCCTCTACTCTTGTTCCAGCGCTCCCTCTGGTGCTAGCTCATAAGCCAAAATGCTGCTCATATGCCGAAATGAAAAAAAGGTCAAGCAACGGCTCGTAACTCAAAATGCTGGTAAATTGGAATGTTCATAAGTCGAGGTTCCATGGTATACTAATTCAACTGTTGTGACCACATCACAGCAGCTGAGAAATGTAGCTTGGGGAGAGTACAGAGAACCTTCTGCTAGAAATCCCTAGTATTGTTAATGCACTACAGTTGCTAGGCATCCTTCATTAACTGAAGAAGAGAAGGCTGAGAGGAGATATGACAGCCATGTATAAATATGTGAGAGGAAGTCATAGGGAAGAGGGAGCAGGCTTGTTTTCTGCTGTCCTGGAGATTAGGACGCAATGGAACAATGGCTTCAAACTACAAGAAAGGAGATTCCATCTGAACATGAGGAAGAACTTCCTGACTGTGAGAGCTGTACAGCAGTGGAACTCTCTGCCCCGGAGTGTGGTGGAGGCTTCTTCTTCGGAGGCGTTTAAACAGAGGCTGGATGGCCATATGTCAGGGGTGCTTTGAATGCAATTTTCCTGCTTCTTGGCAGGGAGTTGGACTGGATGGCCCATGAGGTTTCTTCCAACTCTATGATTCTATGATTCTATGAACTATCAAACTGGTGTATGCTAGTGGTGAGGATACTTGATATTTTATGTGGCTTATTTTATGTAACTCAAATGACTTTGTGTGCATTTGCATGGCCGCAGTCCTAACAACAACAAAAATAGCAATATTGTCTTCTGTACTGCAGATGAAGAGACTGCAGATCTAAATGAGTGCCTTATCTAAGGCAGATGTGAAAATATCGATCCAGTAGGTAGGTAGGTAGGTACTTTGATCTACTGCGGTCATTTGGAGTTTTGGATGGATGGGGTGGGGGTTATTCCTACTACCTACTATAGACAGTCCCACTGGAGACCACAGCTTTTTTTAAACCATCAATTAGGTCAAATGGGGGTTGCTGTCTAGCTGCATCTGGAAGGCCACCGTTGACCACCCCTGATCTAAGCAACACCTCATGATTTAGAATCATAGAATCATAGAATCATAGAATCAAAGAGTTGGAAGAGACCTCATGGGCCATCCAGTCCAACCCCCTGCCAAGAAGCAGGAATATTGCATTCAAACCACCCCTGACAAATGGCCATCCAGCCTCTGCTTAAAAGCTTCCAAAGAAGGAGCCTCCACCACACTCCGGGGCAGAGAGTTCCACTGCTGAACGGCTCTCACAGTCAGGAAGTTCTTCCTAATGTTCAGATGGAAGAAATGATAGTACTACTCTCTTTATCTATTAAATGACTAGTTCACTGCCTCCAATATCGCCTACAATGACCAGTACCTGGCCTCCAGGCTTTCAGAAGAGTGGACTGCCCCCAATCCTACACAAAGATAGTGTAGTGAATTTCAACCCACTACACGGCAATTCAACTATAGATCTTTAAGACAGGGGCAATATTCGAATTGCAGACTTTCTGGTTCACAGCTCAGGTTGGATCTACACTGCCCTATTTTCCAGGAGCCGATCCCAGATTCTCTGCTTTGAACTGGATTATATGCGTCTACAGTGCCAGATAATCTGAGATAAGTGGATAATCTGGGATCAGAACCTGGGATATAGGGCAATGTAGATCCAGACGGAGTCCCCTTGGCTGCCCTGAGTTCCCTCAGGGAGATAGGGTGAGTTATAAATAAAAGAAGAAGAAGAAGAAGAAGAAGAAGAAGAAGAAGTGCCTAAAGACCTCGGCGCTGACAAAATTACTATCTGCCAGCTGCAGAAGGCCACCTTACTGGGATCTGCACACATTATTTGCCGATGCATCACACAGTCCTAAACACTTGGGAAGTGTCCGACATTTGATCCAATACAACAGCCAGTAGAGTGTCTATTGTGGACTCGCCTTGTTTCAAATAATAATAATAATAATTCTCTTTGACACTATCCTTAGTATTTCGCCTCATGTAATAAGAGAGAAGAACAACAAACATTTCATGTAACTGTTTAGCACATACTTCCTTCTCTTCAAATAAAAACTGGTTTGTAAGGGTGTTTGGTTTATGCAAAGAAAATAACATTAAATCAGCAAGCTGCTGCAGCATTCCATCAGATTGGAAGCACAACAAAGGTCAGCCCTCTGCCTGGATCAACTGTTCTCCTTGTTTAATAAAAGCAGTTTTTAGAATACGAGTGTAAGGAGTCAACTTCAGATGTGGTAAGTTCACTTCGCAAATAGACAAGAAGCCTAGGATGCTGCATGATCTTATCTCACACACCTGTTATCTCTTAAGAGTTACTTTCTTCTCCTTGAGATTTACTGAGCAACTGTTGCTTCCTTTCTCTCATCCATCCCCAACTGTTGTGCATGGTGGTTTCATTTTTGTTTGTTTGTTTTAAAGAGGATGTTAAGAACTGTAATATTAAATGTGTCATGGGAATAGCAACTGTCCTTTTGTGCCTCTACCATCACCTTTAACCGCAACTTAAAGCAAAGCAGCAGTCTTTTCTTTCAAAGTAGTAGGCCTGGGTGCAACAGTTCACAAAGCCAAGCAATGATCATTCCCATATGAATATAACTATTTCCTCTTGATAATCGCAGAAGGGTTTGCCTCTTTATGACTTATAAGCAAGGGAAGTGTGCATTGAGCATCAGTTTTCAACACTCCCTTTATCAAATCCCTTTACACTCATCATGAGGAATCTATAGTTCAATGGAGACTTGGCACAAACTTTCTCCTAGCAGACTTCAGGATACCCCAGAGACCCCCAAACATCCAGTTCAGTTGCCTTACAAGAACTTTCAAACTAGGAAAAGAAAGCCTTATGAGTAACCCTATATATGCCAGTATGCAGGCCATCAATATCAAACAAATGCTAACAGCTTTCTGGCTTGTGAACTGCAGAATACATGGATTTTGTTATTGTGACTGAAAAGCACAATTGAATTAGCTTAGTGCAAGCAAAGATGGAAGGAGTAAATCTGCACCGGCTATAGGATTCTCTTTTCTGCCTTGACAGAAAACACACAAAAGATTAGTAAAAGTAGTCCCGAGCCAGTTGGGATCATTGATTATACATCATGCACAAGTTGTGGCTGTGATGACTAATCCCTATACTTAGAGAGATCGGAAAGCATGCTTTCTTGGCCAGTTTGAGAATAGTGCTTGGAAATGGAATAATGTCTTTATATCTTACAACTTAAGCCATCACAAAATGGGGAAAGATTATAACAAGGCACTAAGGCATTTTTGTGAGCTATTATTAGGTTTAACATTGAAACTCTCTGCACAAAAAAACCTTTAGGGATCCTACTAAATCATATATGAAATCATGTTCTATGGTTTTCCATTACTGATCTGAGTAGAGCGCTGAAGCACTGAATTCCAGAATCTATGGGACCCCCTCCCACAACTACAAAGGGATTCATTATCTATGTCTCAAAACTTTTCATTTTTTTCCTAATTAGGAAATGAACTAACTGGCTTGCAGAAGTGCTTGTGTTATGGACACAGAACAACCAGACACATTGGAAAATACCTTCTCAAAAGTGTAGGCTTGACATAATATATTTTTCATGTCCAGACTGGAAAAACACAGAAAAGAATCCATGTTTTGAAGATCCAAGGATGCAACTATAATGTATCTCATAGCAGCAGAACACAATATAAATAGCCAATGTGGAAGGAGCTCAAAGATACATTTCAAAGAACAATTTGGAGATGGACAGTGCCAGATATTTAAGAGTCTGCCTGGTCCTGTATCACTGACACTGCATTCTTCCTTATAAGGAAAAGAGAGGTCCTTCTTCATACATTTATTTTAATCCCTCCAGGACTCTTCCTAAGTATTATGACTTTTGGAAAAGTCTTATGATCTATCCACTAGATTATCAATCCTTGTTCCTGTGCAGACCTCATGCTGAAGCATCTGCCAAGTTTTACACAAATGCAAAACATAAACAAAAAACCTTCCAATCTCATATAGTTGCTTGGTACCTCAGAAACAGAGCATCTCAGTGAATGTAACTTAACTGTATTAGAGCAATCCCAATGAATGTAACATGAATGTAATCGATCAGTCCCAAACAAGAAAGATACCTGTGAAATACTATGATGAAACCCAATGAGAAATCTTGTGTTTTGTACCTTTGAGCCGTGACAAGGAATGAGAGACTCTCCTCTTCCCCGGACAAATGGCTGGTGTCAAAGATAACACTGAAATCATACTAAAGGAAGAAAAAAAAAGAAATCAGCATTTAGGGATATCAAAACATGAAATATATATAAATTAGGTAGTTTTCTGTCATCATGCTGCTGTAATTTTCTAAAACATATTTATTTAATATACCTTTTCATTTTCCAGAGTTGAAATGCTTACAAACATTCAGAACCATACTGGTTTACTGGCATAGTTTTGATTTTTCAGACCTATGATGGATTCTGTGAGTTGAGTACACAAATCAATTTTGATAGCGTACAGGGTTGACATGAATGGAGATGAATTCCCTGATCAGTATTAGGATTTCATAACACGCATTTCCCCTCCCCGCACACCCTCTGATTTTTAAACAGAGGAAGCATCAGGGAGCCCATTGAACAACACAAACAGAAGCCCACCTGTCATCGGGTGGGGTGGGGGGGCAGGAGGAGAGACCTAGGAGACACGGAGAAATAGTCTTCTGAACTCATGACTTGAATAGAAATGGGAGAAAGTAATGAAAAACATGTGGGATGGGAATCTGTCAAATTTGCCTGTGTTGAACCGCTTCGGTGATGTGGAATAATGGGTATCCCTATGGAAGGTGTCCTCCAAGCAGGGAAACAATTTATTTCCCAAAATTTGCCTGGAATGATAATTTTTAAATTAATTTAATTTGCAATTTCAAGATATCACTACTTTGTTTTTTCCTGTCATTTCTCCTTCATGGCTTTTGAATTGTGCTACTGCTAGTTTTTTAACTCCCCCCTCCCCCATTTTTATCAATAGAATAAGTTCCTAGTGCCTAGTAGGTTTCAGACATCTATCACTGAGAGTAATGAGGTTGGGAAGAAAGAGGAGGAGCCCAAAGAAGGAGTGTCTGCCTTAAAAACAATGCCTTCTGTCTCCTCTATGAGATAGAGGCAGGAGGAGGCAATCCTGTGTGATGGGAATAAGTAATTTCTCTATCTATATTAAAGACAGAATTCCATGCCAAGAAGACAATTCCACATGCAAAGTCCAGAGTTCTAGACTATCTAGGTCCTTTCATATCTTGATCCTATCTTTAACGTGTTGGGGAATTTTCCCAGTTTTGCATCATCCACATTCACAATTAACTTGGATGACAACTTCTATGGCCAATTTTGTTTTGTTCTTGTAAGAAACATTATGCCAAAATACACACTTTCCTGTATTAATTCCTTCAAATTTTTCTCCTTGTGCAACTGAAGCTCATGCAAAGGCATTGCATCTGCTTTCCACAGCAGTGTCTCCTCTTCCAGATTCAAAGAACAACCCAACAGAAAAAAAACAAGAGAAAACTGAGATCTTAACATTGAACATAAAATCATGGTCTCAAAAGCAAGTCATGGATTGTCCAGAAAATTAGTCTCAACCCTAAATAAAATGAGACAACTACTGCTGATGTTCTATGTCAAGAAAATGCAGGACATTTTTGTAAATTGATTGTTTTTAAACTTGATGAGATGTCTACTTCAAATGGTGAAGAATGGGTCATGATGGCTCACTCCTGGTCGGCTCTCAGTAGCCAGGTAGGCTTTTGAAGCAAGATAGCAGAATTCCCCTAATAGCTTTGCTCTTTCTTCTTCTACTTCAGGTTGCAGGATGTTTTAGACAATGCATGTTACAACTGTACTACTGATGGGGAGAGATTTTACCTTCACTGACCTTGAGTAACAAACTTAGAGGACTGCGGCCCATGCCATTTGCTGCACTGCCTCAAGAAGCGGAGTGGCTTTGCAACACTCAGAAATGTTGCCAGAATGAAAGAACATAAACCCAACGAGTGAATTAAATAAATATGACAAATAAAAACTTGGAAAGAAGATAACAATAAATTGTATTTTTACTGGCTCTGTGTTGTATATAACTGAACTCTACATATTTTGTATAGCAGGCTCAAAATACACCAGTGCAACTAAGGTCAGAAATGGTGGAGAGCTCACTTACAAATGTTTGTTGAGGAAGCTTTGCAGAATCAATTTCAAGCAGCTGAAAAAATATCCCATTTTAATTCCAAGTCAAATTCCATTAGGATTCCCTGGTTATGAAGTGATATGACAGCACTACCACTGAATTCATTCTAGAGATGAGTGATCAGCATCAACCAAGCACCTTATAGAAGGACTAGAAAAGTGACCAAGGCACAAAACCACAGAGTATTTGCAAAGTAGTCATTGACGCACATATTCTCTTCACATAGAGGGAAGGTCATTGTTATGGGAAGGCATAAGACATTACCTTGGACTTTGATCTCATAAAGGGAAAGCCCACACTGCACTTAAGGAAGTCCGAGTCTGGCTCTAGTAATTCACATGCAATGCCCATCTCTTCCTAAAAGAAGGAAAGAAAGGTGTTTTTGTTATGTGTTAAATTTATTTATTTATTTACAGTATTTATATTCAACCCTTCTCACCCTGCAGGGGACTCAGGGCGGATTACAATGTACATATACATGGCAAACATCCAATGTCATAGACCAGGGGTCCACAAACTTTGTAAACAGAGGGCCAGGTCACAGTCTCTCAAACTATTGGGGGCCGGACTGTAATTTGAAAAAAACATGAATGAATTCCTATGCACACTGCACATATCTTATTTGTAGTGCAAAAAACCACTTAAAAACAATACAATAATTAAAATGAAGAATAATTTACAATATAAACGTATTAATATTAACGTATTAATATTTACGTTTACAATATAAACGTATTAATATTTCAATAGTAAGTGTGGACCTGCTTTTGGCTGATGAGATAGGATTGTTATTGTTGTTATGTGCTTTCAAGTCATTTCAGACTTAGTTTGACCCTAAGTGAGGACCAGGTAAATGACCTTGGAGGGCCGTATCCAGCCCCCGGGCCTTAGTTTGAGGACCCCTGCCATAGACACACAACAAATACAGACAGACACAGAGGCACTTTAACATTCCAGCTTTTCTTGAGGTTATTCTGGCCACCAGGGGAGCTATCCCTTCACTAACAATTTGTGACACTGATGAAGTACTTCCTCATTCTTTGCATGCTTGCTGGAGATTTTTATGGCCTCGCAAATTAGTTAAATTTGCCTCCCTGCAAAAGCGGTACCTAAATTTCCTACTTGACAGATGCAACTGTCTTTCAGGCTGCAAAGGTCGACAGCAAGCTACACAAAATTGGTCAGAAGCTCACTCTGACCCAGACTGGCTTCGAACTCATGACCTTTTCAGTCAGTAGTGATCTTAATGCAGCTGACTCCCAGCCAGCTGTGCCACTGTCCCGGTGCTGTAGTTTGATATGCTCAAGAATATCAAACTGCAGTAGAAAATGCTGGTATGGATCCAAACAAAATGAATTATTCTCACTTGGGAGTATGCCACATTAAATTCGCTGAGTACTTTTTTACTATTACTTCTCACTAGGCACATACAGGACTGTACATTTAATCTTCACTGAAATCAATGGGACATCAATCATGACTAATCTGAAACCAATTTCATAATAACTAAGGGCAACGAAATTACTCTGGGCCTAACTCCATGTTTTCTAGCTTTAAGATAGACAGCAAACCCAATGGAGAGAAATAGCATCTTTGCAGAGATAGTTTCTAGAAAATGAAATGGTTATTTAAAAAAGATGCATGCTGTGTAATTTTCTTCTTTTTAAATATTTTAATTAAGCTTTTAAGCAGAAAAAAAAACTTAATTAAAACAACAACAATACTTATGCATACATAAACACAGGCATACCTAACAACAATTACATATCAAACTATACAATGTATTTCTTTACCAGGGCCGATTCTAGGTAATTTTCAAGTGGAAGCAAAGTGTAACCCCACACCCACAAACCAATCACTGAAAAATAAAGCCTGCTGTGTGTGTGTGTGGGGGGGGCACTTCGGAGATTCGCCCCAAATCCCATTGTTTTTGTTCGTTTGTTTCTTTGTTTGTTTTTTTTTGCTGCTACATCATACTGTTGGCTAATGTTCAAATTGTTGTCCATGAAGACTCCAAGATCTTTTTCACATGGACTGTTGTTGAGCCAGGTATCACTCATTCTGTATCTGTGCATTTCATTTTTTCTGCCTAAGTGTAGTATCTTACATTTGTCCTTGTTGAAATCCATTGTGTTAGTTTTGGCCCAGCTCTCTAATCTGTTGAGGTCATTTTGAATTCTGTTCCTGTCCTCTAGAATATTAGCTATCTCTCCTAATTTGGTGTCATCTGCAACATTGATAAGTATGCCCTCTAAACTTTCATCCAAGCCATTAATAAAGGTGTTGAACAATACTGAGTCTAGGATCGAACCCTCCAACACTCCACTAGTCACTTTTTCCTGGTATGAAGTGGAGCCCTTGGTGAGCATCTTTTGGGTTTGGACCCTTAACAGATTTGAAGACAATTGGTGCCTGTGAGCTTACGATCAAGGAAACATGATACAGAAAGCAAAAGGATCCAGTCCCCTCCACGCACACATTGCATGGGATTGAACTATAAAGGGCTTTCAAAAAAAGATTTAAGTAGATTTTATCAATAACTTGTGTAAAGGAGGCACCCAATTTGTAAAAGTTTGTAAAGGAGCCACCACTTTGTAAGGACTTACTAAATTGATAACACWACTAATGGCTTGTAATATTGAATTGGTCTTTCTTCAATGTTTAACATGGCTAAACTTGAAAGTATTTGTAACAGAGACTTGGCTTTAGAAGAAACTATAACAAGTTTATTGAAGTATAGAAGAAGCTTGATGGTTTCAATGTTTCTTAACTCTTAGAGGCACATATCTTCAGAGGTTACATTTATAACTTTTCATAAMACAACTCTTAAAGAGGACTATTCCTTCYAYTAAACAGGTTTCAAACTTATTTTCCTTCAAAATGTGTTTCTTTCTTTAACAGATTACTTCAGGCACAAGCTTATTCTTTCCTTATGTTATTTCTGTTGCAATAAAGATTCTTATTAGGGTTCTCCCCCCTTTTGCTCATACACCTACTAAGAATATAAATAAGTCAACTCGACCCATCTAAACTACACAGGCTAAAAGCCAAAACCTTCCTGATTCTCAACACAGTAGAATCAGCCCTTCCCTGTAGTTCGCTGACTACAGATTACCTTACTGGTTCTCAACACACAACAGAACCAGCCTTCCCTGTAGTTCGCTGCCACTTGGCTGCCCTGCCAAGTGGCAGTTGGCTCCGCCCCTTTTCCCATGGTAACCCAGCTCGAAGTGAGTTGAGCTGGCTACCATCCCCCCAGTTATGCTAGTTTAAATACCCTTTTAAACACCTATCTATTATTATACATAACTGTAGATTAAAACTCACACTTCACCACAACTTGTTACAAACATTAGGATGCATTTTTTAAAATACAGTTGGCCCTCCATATCCAGGGATTTGGCATACACAAATGCAGCCATCCACAGTATGAAAATATTCACACACAAACATTTCCAAAATACAAACCTTGATTTTTGCCATTTTATAATAGGAACATCATTTTCCCATGCCATTCTATATAATGAAACTTGAGCGCTCATGGATTTTGGTAGGTATATGGTTCCTGGCACCAAATCCCAGCAGATATGAAAACTCAATAGCGCTATTTTTAAAAATGTAGTGCATTGTCAAATTATTTTGACATAAAGTAATGTTGCTTTTTAATTCCTACATATTCATTGTTTTTTTAAAAAAGAATGAAAAGCAACATAATATTCAGGAGTTATATAATGATGTACTTTTGTGTAATAAGCAGTATCATAGAACTATCCTTAAAAAAGTGAAAAACAAGAAGTAAAAAATTGGCTCTGATTACAAAAAGAAAACAAGGAGCTAAAAGGAAAATTACTAAATTCAGGGACTATTTCTTCATAATGCTTTGCATATTTATAGAGACATATATGTTTCTTAGGAACAAATTAATGTTTGGAAGTACAATTAGTACATTTGTTCTAGAAAGGGGAGGAGAAAAAGAAATGAGGAATCAATATTTTCTTTGGCAGAAAACATAGATTTCCTGCTCTCTTCCATGATCTCATTAGTAAGAGCTAACGCCACACCTACACCCCAGTTCAGCAAATTTTAGTTTCTCATCTTGGTTTTCCCAGCTTATTTGGGGAGACGTATCCCAATAAAATCAGTGACAGAAAACCCGGCTCTTTCCCCCCTCACATTTGAGGCTATTTTCGGAACATGAAATCACAGGCGTTGACGTACACAGGAAGTTTCCAAGTGAAGGAAGGAAAGGGGAAAGATGCATCCTTGGGGGATTTCAACATATTCTTCACACACACACCACTCCTCTACTTTTATAGCTGTATGCTGAAAAATTAACACATAGGAAAGCTATCCAATGTCCAAACTACCGTAGCTAATGTGTCCAAATGATGACAAAGAAAGTTAGATCACTTAAAAAACAACAACAGAGCAACCCCATTCCCCAACAAACACAAAGCATGAAGAAAAAACAGTGTATATGCAGCTGAAGCCATGCATGCAAGAAAGTTGAAGCAGTCCTAGAAAATGGTACTATTATATTTCCAACTGTTAGGATTTCTTGGAAGAAGAATAAACTCGGAATTATCTTTTGTCTTGAAAAAGCATTACCAAATCATGTGTATTGGTTCTTTGCAGAAGATTTGCATAAAATAGTTATCAGGAATTCAGTTCAAGATCAGATTAAAAGCACTTTTCTACTGGCTTCCTTAAAACATTTAAATAACATTTGGCTACTTTGGATGTGAAAATGTAGCTTAAGCTAAGATAGAGGGATCTTTATTTTACAGATCTTTGCGTACGTCACAGAACAAAACAAAAACATTTCAAAGCTGCATAGTATGATAAAATATAAAATATGAACAATATATCTTAAATGCACTATTTAAGGCAGGGATCCCCAAACTAAGGCCCAAGGGCCACAGGTAACCCCCCCCCCCAAGGTCATTTACCTGGTATTCGGCCTAAATATTAGACTTAGAGTCGCTCTAAGTCTGAAACTACTTGAAGATACACAACATCAACAACAATGCCAATTAACTTAATTATCACATCAGCCAAAAGCAAGCCCACACTTCCTACTGAAATACTGATAAATTTATGTTGGTTAAAACTTTTCTTCATTTTAAATATTTCATTTTTATTTCAATTTTTTTGCACTAAAAAAAAACAATATGTATGGTGTGCATAGGAATTATTTCATGCTTTTTTCCAAACAATCTGGGACCATGAACTGTTTAAAAGTAGCATATCCAATTTTCTCTTCACCCAAGGGAACTGTAGTCATAGGGTTGGCAGAACAGAAACTGTAGAATATACAACCTTTAAAGTTGTATAGAAGAAGGAATTTCAGGAAGTGT